ACACCTAGAAGTAGTTAGGTGGATAGATAATCACCAACCAAAAGTAAGCCCACTTTTACATCAAGAGCGTTATAAGAGAAAACTGATATTTCCAACGAATGTAAAAAGCACAACTTTTAGGTTAGCCCATTAAAAGAAGAATAAATGGGCAGCAAATCCTGATGCTAGCAGTATAATTAAGAACTAGGTAATTGTGAAAATAAGGGCGAAAGAGAGGAAATATTAGTGCATATATTAATCAGTCTTGAAAGAGCAGCAATATGAATAATCAGATCAACAAATTCTGCTGCCGTGAAGGACCAGTGAACAATGTCCCGTGCAGTTGATGGGTGTCTCCTAAGATATGAGAGAACTAGTGCATTAGCCACTCGAAAAGTGTTCAATTATAGCCACTCAAACACAGAATCGGATAGGGACAGGATCAAGTAAGAAGGATGCAATGCTATGGGAATGCAAAACAAAAGTATAAATACAAGTGCATGATTCTTGTTCGGAATGGAAAGCTGAGAGTTGGTAATAACGTCCAACATGGGCAATTTCCCTAATGCCCTGAGATACAAGATTGCCTAATCAACATCATGGAGTAATGGTTAGAAAAATATCGTTGTTGTGGAGACCTTAGTATGCTATAAAAGTGCGAGATGAAGGTATTCGTAGGTCAATCTCAATGGAAGACAAAGGTCGATTTGCGTTGTCATGCCGTCGTTCGGAATGACGATATCTACGAGACATCCTCCCTTGTTATGGGTTGAACCAGGCTGAGCTTTCGTCCATTATGTGAAGGAGCTTATCAAAGCTGGAACTCATTCTTGCAAAGGCTTCAAGTTAACACTAGGTTAAGAAGACCATCGGGCTCTATCCTACATTATATATATACTCATAATATATAGATATAGATAGACGGATAATCAAATTAATCAGAGTACTTATACTTGTTTGTGCGTATAAGTATCCTGACTATCATCATAAAGAAAAAGCCAAATTATACTGTATATCTATATATGTTTATATTTTTGTTTAAAATTGTGAGTATATATGGCATGTAAGATAGAACCAGATAATCTTCCTGCCTTGGTGTTAGCTTAAAGCTTTTGCAAGAATGAATTTCAACTTAAAATGTCCGTCAAGTGGCATGACGGACGAAATCTCAGGCCATGTTCACTAGAAACGAGGACGTTTCGTGGACTGTGTCAATCCGAACGTCGTAGTAAAGCCAAACGGCCTGAAAACAATGCGAATCAGCCATCAGCTTTCGGTGAGATCGGCCCAAGAATATCTTCTTTGTGCACTCTCATACCAAATGAAAGTGTCCAGAACAAGTGGACAGCTTACTTAGCTTTAGCAAGTCGCGAAATGGAGCCGAAAATGCTCGACTTGCTGAGGATTGATTTGCCAGCACTGGCGCTGCCTGCCAGTCCACCGAGCTGGGTACCCTCGGGCCAATACTCTTCGGTCCAAATCCAGTAGGTGATTGCACCGCGAGGATGAGAATTCCTCTTGGTAGGCTCTAGCTCAGACTCGTGGAGGCGAGAGGCGACAAGCGCGGGCTGGCCGGATCGCGGTATGCCGACAGGGGGTAGCACGACCTGGCCAACGTGGCGCTCTTTGCCGTCGATAACGAGCATAACGAGGGGAGTGGACGGCGTCGCGAGGCGTCTTTATGTGGATATAGAGAGAAGGAGAAATGAGTGATAGGATGTAGGCAAAGGCAAAAAGCCTAATTGTAATTGGATGCCAGCTATTGGATGAGAGGAGCCTGAGAACTAAATAAAATGAAAAAAAAACTTAAAAAGTAATTAAAATAAATATCTATGATCCCAATTATATTTATTAGCCGTAAAGTGAATTAATCAATGATTGAAACAATCATAGAATTCGGCATAGATTTGACCAATCTGAGTTTATTTCATAATTGTATTGGGGCTTGTTCCAAATAATGGACTGCGGTCTCCGTGAATTAAAGGCAAAATATCTTGTAGAAAAACTGGGGTCTATTCAAATGAAAGGGGAATCATTTAGTTATCATGGCTCGATGCCATGTCAGTTGTTAGATTAATTCACATATAAATTGAAGGCATGAAGACCAAGATGGTGTGGCCTTTTGTGTGACCGCAGTCTCCTTTCGTTATATAGAGGTTGTTTGACCTTGTTTTCGCAAATTGATCATATTGGTAGGAAGACTTAGATGAATACACTTAGTCCGGAGCCCATTGTATGCATGATAATTTTTAGAGTATCACGTCCACGGTCCTACTCTGGAAATTATCATGCATACAATGGACTCTGGACTAGGTGTGTCCCTCTAAGTCTTCCTACCAATATGACCAAGTTGCGAAAACAAGGTCACATATAAATTGTTTAGCCTGAACTTAGTCAGACAATTGCACATCGCATGCGGCAGCTTTTGCTTGGATGCTCGTAAGTAGAAATAAAAGTATTCACTCAATTGTATAAGCCTTGGTTCAATAAATGGTTAAAATTGCTCATTCGTACATAAACTATATTACAGCTTAATATTACTGTTAGCATAAGCAAAAATAGCTTGTGCCAGTTCCAGATTCTGAAATGCATTCACGATCAACATCAGGTCGAGATTGTCTTCGGATAGGGTTCATCCAAAACAAACAGTAGCTCGTATGCAACTGTTGCCCAAGTTTAGTTTTGGATACCAGTTCCTTCATATTAGTTCCTTCAGACATACTAAAGAGTGCGAATTGAACAATGAAAACAGTTGAAAGATGGTTATCACAGAAGAAAAATGTTAGAACTTGTGTGACTTCTTAAAATTGTCAATGTTGAAGTGAATTTGGTTACGTGTAAGGGTGTGCAATCAGGGATTCAAAAGTCGTTCTCGTAGAAACAGGACAGCCAATTCCCTTTGGTTTCTCCTATATTCACCTGGGATCTTTATGCTGGCGCAGTCCTCGGGACATCCTTCTATGGTCCAAATGGACATGATATCGTGAAAATTGAAAGACATCATCATAGCCAGATCACATTCTTATGACGAGTTTTCTTGACTCGTGATAAACTTGAAGTCGTTAGATGAATGTGTCCCAGATCCGATTGTGTCTGTCAGACGACAAAGGAAATATTAGCACAATT